TGTGTGGGAGAGGGAACTGTCGGTAACCATAGATGAAGATAAGTGGGATACCGTTTGGTCTCTCGCAAAAAGGATTTCAATTTGTACTCGGACAAGAGCAATCCAACTTAAGATTTTACACAGATTACACGTATCCCCTCACCGCAGACACCTCTTCAACCGCTCTCTTTCCCCTGTGTGTCTTAAGTGCAAAACTGATGTAAGGGCTTTAACTCACTGTTTTTGGTCCTGTTACAAGCTTCAAGAATACTGGGCTGACATTACAGGTGAACTGGGGAAAATCTTCCACGTTGATATAGAGATGGACCCTTTATCTCTGATTCTAGGTCTTCCAAGTGACCGCCTAAAAGCGGCGGCCAACAAAAGATTGTATAATACTCTAACATTTGCAGCCAGGAAAAATATCCTCTTACAATGGATCAACGATAGGACTCCCACTGTCTGTGGCTGGTGCAAAATAATTTTTGAACTGATTCCTCTGGAATATCTCACACACGTTATACACCACAGTGTGGGTCAGTTCTATGGGATGTGGCACCCCTTTTTGGACTATATTGGACCGGACCTTTCCGCTATCTTATTCAAAGGACTACTACGCACGTGATCACCACCCGGGCGCTGTAAGACTGACTCACCACCTCTTGTATGTTATATTTTGTATTTTGTATCTTGTATTATGCCTTATTTAAGAGCTGTTGTGTACGTTTTGTGTTTGTACTGTTTTGTTGTTCTGTGTCTAATGTCGAGACACTGTCTTGTTAAAGGAAAATCTGCAATAAAAACAATGATGAAAAAAAAAAAAGAGTAATCTGGCCAAGAGGACAGCAGACAGCGCAACAAATATATCAAGTGTACCTACATTACAACCAGAGTTATGAAGATACTTGAACAACAGGTAATTATTGTATATATAAAACCCCTTTGTAAACCATGTTCACCGAAGTCTATTTACCAACATACATAAAGATATTACACACGGAAACATTGGAAATCAGTTTTGGCAGGCGAACACTTTTTGGCACAACGCTGGCAATAATTCATACGTGTAATTAGCAGAGTAATTCCTAAATACGTGTAGATTAAAGGAAATTATTTTACCTAGATATGATTGTCTCTGATGAGCCTAAGGTACAAAACGTGCGGGTGACAACGATAAGGTTTTTCTTGCTCCTCAAGAAATAAAATTGTCCACACAACGGAGCAACATTTGTGGGTCCATTTTAAATTTTTCGCGCTGTGGCGTTAGCGACGGAAAAACACATAAGTAAGGGCAGAGTTGAAGGCTAGGAGGCTGTCCACAGCCCGTCTGTTATGTTGGATACTCATTGTTTGTTCAATAAAGTTTCTATAGAGAAAAAAAAGGGGGCTGTCCACAGCCACTCACTTCCTGACTACCCGTCCGTCTAAGGACACTACCTTGTGACGTAGGTAGGTAGTGTCCTTATGAGCATCCTTCCCCTGAATTCGGACACAGCCAGTGATTCATTCAACTCGTTTGAGCTGTGAGCCAGGAGGGAGGAGGTTAGTGAGTCCTGAGTGATTCGCTTCTACTATGAGGGTGTGAGTAACTCAAATGTGCTGTTAGCATGCTAGCTGAGCGATGCTACAGTGAACCGAGGAGCTGTTGTCTTGATGTGTGATGTGAGCTTCTACTCAGGGTTTTTTCTTCCAGTTCAGAGCAGGAATGTTTTTGTTAAGAAACTGGCTGTTGTTTTTTTACCCACAATTTTAATTATAAGCTAGATATATTTCTAATAATGGGATTAGTTTGCTAACAGAAACAGGGATGAGTCAGTGAGTCAGTTGCGCTTGTGAATCATGATTCACGAGTCAGTAAAGTGATTCTCGAGTATTTGTTCACGAATCGAACATCACTACGCAGTAGCACAGGAACAGAGCAGGAGGGAGAGACTGAGAAAGAGAGCCAGGGACAACAACATCACATTAGAAAGGTACAGTAATGACCCACAACTATTTTCAGTTGCGGATGATAAAGGATTCAGAAAGTTTATTCATGCAGGCCTATATGACAGAGAACATGCATCTTCTTTTTGTTTTCATATTTTAATTTATATTTAATTGTGTTATGGTTTGCAGTGTTTTGTGTTGTTACACTTTAAATATGTTTAAAAGGAAAAAGCTGAAAATTTAAATAGTTAAAAGTTGAACTGTGAATAGTTGGGTTTTGTATTATCTGATTTATTTATTTCAATTTATGTGGAGTGAAAAAATAAAAGTATATTTACGGTGGCCCCTAGAGACAAAGCACGTACAAACTTCAAAACACATACGAACTCTGAAGCACGTACCAACTCCAAAACACGTAAACACTCAGAAGCACGTAAAAACTCAGTGTAATTACTATTTTGTTTTGAATTGGAAATAAGCACTTGTGTTTGTTTTGATGTGTGTGAATAAACACCAGCAAAAGCCAGATGTGTTTTTTATTCATACCATCAGTGTTAGGTTGGTGCATTGTGTGCTTATTAATGTGATGGCTTGTGTTAACTGTTTGATACAAAAATACCATTTTTACGAAGGTTTGGACAGTTAAGCAAGGTTTATTAGCTTTTGCAAGAAAACTACAATGTTTTGCTGATTTGGTGAAGGGTTTTCTGATTTGTGTGTAGAGTTTTGCAAAAATAGCCAATAGTTACAAAAAATATGCTTAAGCCATCAGAAAAAACGGTAAAAACTCCTGAGATTCATAAGAACACTGCAAAGCATGAAATCTGAACAGCTTCTGTAGCTGATTTTGGGCGTGGGAACATTGTTTACTTTCATGTTGTCTCCAACATCACAGTAGATAAAGTCAAAACATTTTGTCTTCCTGTAATCAGCTCGCCACCCCTCATTTCTCCTATGAATTTCTGGCATGAGTCCAAATGGCAGTTTAGCTCTAATATGCTGATCTCTCTTTTTGTTTCCTTTGGTTTTCCTTTCATGTTTTTAATGACTCAAGATCAGAAGAAACAAACTCAGACTGGAGAATTTAATTTCACACCACACACAACCCACATGCTCATCTGCTGCAGGATTGTACACCATTACTGCCACCTTGAGGCTCATCAACTCTCTGAGATAACCCAGGATGGCATTTGCATTATCTGACCAATCCCAATTATGGAAAAGCGCACTAGCAGCAGAGCAGCTGATTTTACAAAGAAAGATAAAAATGCACTTCAGGAGGTTAGACACATGGAAGCAAAACAGCTGCTGGTTGGTATGGTTGGTATTTCCCTCTGTTGTAGTCAAAAATTGTAGTTTCAACACTGTTTGTCTGTCTAGTACAACAAGTCACAATGGAGTGAAAATATGACAACAAGTTTGTAGAAACTAAAGAAAAATCAGTGGTTGTCTGAAGATTGTACTGATATTTTTTTGTATCAGTTACTGATAACAAACTCAGCATGCAGAACATAGGAGTGGAACATAAAAGGAAGCTTTAATTCTGATAAGACAAAATAACAGAGTCCAAAGGTAATCAAGTCATCAAAAATGTGCACATTCTTACAAAAACCTAAGAGAAGCTAAATCTCTCAGGTTAAAGTCTCAAAAATCTCTAAGAAGAAAAACAGAAATCCCCCAAATTCTCTTAGATTCTCAACAGCACTGGGGGAAAAAACAAAAAAAGATTTTTCCAGAAATCATAATTTTAAGCTAAGAGGGTTTTTTTGTTTGTTTGTTTGTTTGTTTGTTTGTTTGTTTGTTTAGAAAACCAGCTTTTCCTTTTTAAATGTGTCCAGGAAACTAATAACTCATGGGAGAACATGCAAAATCATTCTAGGAACTAATTCAAAGGTGCTTCTAGAAAGAAAATTATCAATTAACATGGAAACTCCAGTAAAACTTCAAGCTCTGTTAGAATTACAAGTTTCAACAAAAAACAATTTTTTTAAATTAATTGTTCCGACTTGGGATGGCATGTCCCAGTGATACCTGAATGGCTCGCCCTTGATAAGAACCAAAACTTATTCTGTTTTTTCTCCCTTTTCCAACTTTAATGGAGGGCGCTACCTTTGGAGTAATGTCCTTCCCAGTTCCAACCCAGTTCCAACCTTCTGTCATGGCCTTGGTCTTTGACCCAGTTTTTGAGTTTCTTATGGGATTGTGATTCTTTTTTTTTTTTTTTCGATTTAAGAGATTTTCATACTAGTTTTTTGTATGATTTAATCTTCAGTTTTGCAATTTTTTTGTGTATCTGAGTTTGTTATTTCTAGCTCCTGGTTCATAAAATCTTTGTTGTGATCTCCCTCTTGGCTGTGCCATGTCGATTTGACTAATAACTAATATGATGAATAAATCTGCCCTGTTTAACCCTTTAATGGTGTTTGGACAATCAGTTATGTAGTGGAGGAGAAGGTGTGACAGTGTGGGGGTGCTGTGCTGGTGACACTGTTGGGGATTTATTCAAAACTGAAGGCACGCTGAACCAGCAAGGCTACCACAGCATCCTGCAGCGTCATGCCACCCCATCTGGTTTGTGTTTAGTTGGACCATCATTTATTTTTTAACAGGACAATGACTACCGTGGAATGGACATATTTTAGCGACCTTTTTCTTGAAGGATGAGGTGCTGGGAATAGAGAATGTTAAACTAACTACCAAGAAGGACAGTGATGAAGTGCTGTGCCAGATTGCCTGGCCTTCAGTCACCTGACCTATACCCAGTCAAGATGGCTTGGGATGAGATGGACCACAGACTGAAGGCAAAAGGGCCAACAAGTGCTCATCATCTCTGGGAAATCCTTCAAAACTGTTGGAAAACCATTTCGGGTGACGACCTCATGAAGCTCATTGAGAGAATGCAAAGCAGTAATCACAGCAAAGGGTGGCTACTTTGAAGAATCTAAAATATAAAACATGTTTTGAGTTATTTTACACCTTTTTGTTTACTACATAATTCCATATGTGTTCATTCATAGTTCAGATGCCTTCAGTGAGAATCTACAATGTAAATAGTTATGAAAAAAAAAGAAAAGCCATTAAATGAGAAGATGTGTCCAAACTTTTCACTGGTACTTATAAGAAATCGAGAGACAGAGAGTCCGATTTTGAGATCTAATTTCTTTACTATAATTGGTCTCTATTTAAGATGACTAAACACTGAAAATCATCAAATAACAAAAAAGTTACAAAGCTTTTCAGAAAATAAATTTTTGCTTTTAAAGCTATGCTTGGTATGTTAAAAAACTGGAAGGAAAAGAAAGACATTACTTACAAAGCACATATTACTATTTTTTTCTTTTCTCACTCTCTCTTTTTTTTGTGAGTAAAACACAGTGAAATAAAAACGAGGTGACATCCTGATCACGACTCCTGTTGATGCACTATAACCCAAAGGCCAGAGGACATGTGGTGTGGTGGCTCCCTTTAATATTTCCTCAAGTACATGGATCCTCTACTGTCGTCACTTTTGACCTGATTAATCATGCAGATGGTAATGAGCAGGCCCAGCAGCTATAAAGACAGAGAAGAAGAATGATCAAAATGTATTGTTTGTATGTACTGCTCCAACACTGTAATGACTGGCTTTTAGTCTAAAACTGAAGAGTTTCCAGCTTCATGCTAGTTAAAGTTGAAATCAGGAGGCTAATAAGCTACATAAGATAAATGAATATTATAGATTAAATTAAAAAGAAAAAACATTTGAAATGTAAACGTTTTGGCTTATCAAGTTTGCAACAAAGTGGCCAAAAAAGTGGACAATAAAGACTGTAACGCATAGATCAGAATAACATCTTCAAATTCCATATTTTGTTTGATTAGCAGTCCATTGACCAGAGTCAAGTACTATGTTAAAATGATTTTTCACTGTTGAACAGTTATTGAATGTACAGGTTAAAGGAGTCAAAGGTGATTTTGACAAAATCTTAAAGAACAACAGAGTCAGTGACACACAGAGGTAACCATGGCAATAAAATAAAAAAACGATAGAGCTTACTGCTATAACAGCAAATCCAAAGAAGAAGCCAAACAGGATGTTAAAGAAAAGGTTCAAAAGTTCAAGGATAATGTCATAGCAGGGCTGCAGAAGAGAAGAGAAAATGGTAATTATCTGACCAGCAGTACAGTGTACAGTGTTTTGATTGGCTGGTAGGTCAGATGATTGAATACCTGTTCATAGATTTCATGTGGGCCACTGGTTCCCTGCAAGAACACAAGAGCAAAATGTGGATGTAAATAGAAACAGTCTGTTAATGTTTTAGGTTGTTTTATTCTGGTGAGATTACACTCACCAGCCTCTTTGTTAGATACTCATGTTCAACCCCCCATCAATGCAAATCTCCTTCAATTCCGATTCTTGTTCATGTAATATAATATAATATACCCCTCCGCGAATCACTACCTTATCATGGTGGAGGGGTTTGTGTGTCCCAGAGATGCCAGGGCCTATGTTGCTTGGGGGCTTTTACCCCCTGGTAGGGTCTCCCATGGCAAGTTGGTCCTGGGTGAGGGACCAGGCAAAGAGTGATTCAGAAGACCCTTATGAGAATATCACCGAGGGAACAGTTTACCCTGCCCAGGATAAGGTTACTGGGGCCCCGCCCTGGAGCCAGGCCTGGGGAGGGTGCCTGAGGGTGAGCGGCCCGGCAGGGCACAGCCCGAAAAGGGGACATGGGCCCATCCTCCTGCAGGCCAACCACCCTCAGGAAGCGGCATAGAGGTCAGGTGCATTGTGCGCTGTGCGGCGGCCAGGAGCAGAGGTCCTGGCTGACTGATCCCCGGCAACCAAGACTGGCAATTGGGACATGGAATGTCACCTCTCTGGGGAAGGAGCCTGAGTTAGTGCGTGAGGCTGAGAGGTACTAGCTAGATATAGTCGGGCTCACCTCAATGCATGGCTCGGGCTCTGGAACCAATCTCCTGGAGAGGCGCTGGACTCTGTCTTAGTCTGGAGTTGCCCCTGGTGAGAGGCAGTGGGCTGGGGCGGGTATTCTAATATCTCCTCGGCTTGCTGCCTGTACGTTGGGGTTCTTGCCAGTGGGTGAGAGGGTTTTGTTCCCTGCACCTTTGGGTCAGGGAACGGGTGCTGACTGTCCTCTGCGCTTATGCGCCAAGTGGCAGCTCAGAGTATCCAGCTTTTTTAGAGTCCCTGTGGGATGCTGGAAGGTGCCCTACTGGCAGACTTCAATGCTCACATGGGTAACGACAGTGTGACCTGGAGGGGCGTGATTGGGAGGACCGGCCTCCCTGATCTGAACCCGAGTGGTGTTTTGTTATTGGACTTCTTGCAAACCAAAGTTTGGCCATAACGAACACTATGTTTGAACATAAGAGTGTCCAAAAGTGCACGTGGCACCAGGACGCTCTAGGCCGCAGGTCAATGATCGATTTTGTAGTCGTAGCACCAAACCTGCAGCCATGTTCTGGACACTCGGGTAAAGAGAGGGGCTGAGCTGTCAGCTGATCACCACCTGGTGGTGAATTGGATCAGGTACCAGGGGAGGACGCTGGACAGACCTGGCGTGCCTAAACATATAGTGAGGGTGTGCTGGGAACACCAAGCAGAGCCCCAGTCCGTGAGATCTTCTTCGGCAGAGCTTCGATAGCATTCCAAGGGAGACTGGGGACAATGGGTCCGAATGGACCATGTTCAGCACCTCCATTGCAGAAGCTGCTGCACTGAGCTGTGGCTGCAAGATGGTTGGTGCCTATCGTGGTAGTAACCCCCAAACCAAATGGTAGTACCCAGAGTTGAAGGGAGCCACCAGGCTGAAGAAGGAGTACTATTGGGCTTGGTTAGCCTGTGGGACTTCGGAGGCAGCTGACAGGTACCAACAGGCAAAGCAGAATGCTGCTCGGGCAGTGGCTGAAGCAAAAACTCGGGTGTGGGAGGAGTTTGGAGAGGCCATGGAAAAAGACCTTCGAATTGCCTCAAAGAGATTCTGGCAGGAGGGGAACGCGGTGCTCTACCTGTACTGTGTATAGTGCCGGTGGAGCGCTGCTGACTTCGACTGAGAAAATTGTTGGGCGGTGGAAGGAATACTTCAAGGACCTCCTTAATCGCACTGGCACGTCTTCCATGAAGGAAGCAGAGTCTGGGGCTGAGGGGGATGACCCGCAAATTTCCGGGGGTGAGGTCACTGAGGCAGTTAAACAACTCCTTGGTGGCAGAGCCCCTGACGTGGATGAGGTCCGCCCTGAGTTCCTGACGGTTCTGAATGTTGTAGGGCTGTCCTGGCTGACACGCCTCTGCAATATTGCATGGAGATCAGGGGCAGTACCCGTGGACTGGCAGACTAGGGTGGTGGTCCCCATTTTTAAGAAGGGGGACCGGAGGGTGTGTTCCAACTACAGGGGGATCACACTCCTCAGCCTCCCTGGGAAAGTCTATGACAGGGTGCTGGAAAGGAGACTCCGTCTGTTAGTCGATCCTCGGATACAGGATGAACAATGTGGTTTTCGTCCTGGTCGCGGGACACTGGATCAGCTCTTTATCCTCTCAATGATATTTGACAGCGCATGAGAATTTGCACAACCAGTCTACACGTGTTTTGTGGACTTGGAGAAGGCATTCGACCATGTCCTTCAGGGTGTCCTATGGAGGTGCTGCAGGAGTATGGGGTGTCTGGCCCATTGCCCATTCGATCCCTATACAACCATTGCAAGAGCTTGGTTCGCATAGCCGGCAATAAGGGGGACTCGTTCCTCGTGGGTGATGGGCTCCGCCAAGGCTGCCCTTTGTCACCGATTCTGTTCATAACTTTTATGGACAGGATTTATAGGCGCAGCCAAGTGCTGGAGGGCTTTCACTTAGGTGGCCTCAGAATCTCATTCCTGCTTTTCACGGATGATGTGGTTTTGTTGGCTTCATCGGGTGATGGCCTCCAGCTCACACTGGAACAGTTCGCAGCCGAGTGTGAAGCAGCAGGAATGAGGATTAGCATCTCCAAATCTGAGGCCATAGTTCTCAGCCGGAAAAGAGTGGAGTGCCCACTCCGGGTCGGGGACGAGTTTCTGCCCCAAGTGGAAGAGTTGATGGGAGAATGGAGACAGAGATCGACAGACGGATTGGTGGTGTGGCTGCAGTGGTACCGGCCCGTCATGATGAAGAGAGAGCTGAGCATAAAAGTGAAGCTCGTGTGAAGCTAATGAGTGAAGCTCATTATTATTATTATTATTATTTTTTATTTTATTTTTTTTCTGTTTTATTGTTATCATCCGAATCTCAATGGCCCAACCTGTTTTGATATATGTCTTTATATCGGTTGATACTTGCTGTATTGGGCCTGATATGTTAAATTACATGTGCAAAACTTTATAAATAAAAAATTATAAAAGTGAAGCTCTCAATTAATCGGTCGATCTTTGTCCGTACCCTCAGGGTCACGAGTTCTTTTGGGCACTTTTGGTAGTGAACAAAAGAACGACATTGCGGAAAGGAGCTTAATTCGAAGGGTGGCTGGCCTCTCCCTTAGAGATCTCCCTTAGAGGGAGGTCTGGGCCTCTCTGTTTACCCTACTTGTGTGAGGAGGCCTACCCATTGTAATGTGGTGATCTTTTTGAGAGATAGCCTTTATTTGTCAGTTGCAGGTCTTTTGCCCACAACCGAGATGACAGACCTTGCCGACCGTACATACAATACACAAACATCACATTAGGGAGACAGGTCAGGCTAGGTAGCGAAGAAAAAAACAAAAGAAACAAAATGTGTAACACAAAAGGATAATACAGGAATGCACAGATATCAACACACCATAGGACAATAAACACAGACAAGCAGCATGGGAAAGTGTTCCAGTGTGTACATCTGATCTGGGACCGCTGCAATCTTCGACTGCGCCTCCAGCTGACCCGATGTCCACATCAGAGGGGAGGTAAGCGTTGGAGGTGGTGTTGGATCCGGGGCAGGGAGGGTGATGCGTCAGTGAGTGCTTATCAGTATCAGTATATGTATGTGTGTGCGTGTCCAGAGTTCAGCTGAGACGGTGTCCTTCGCCCTGCCAGGCTAAGTAAATAGTCTTCCAGCCAACCCAGGTGGCCTTGCATGGAATGGGAAGGAACAGACTCAACACAGTCGTTATCAGGGAGTTTTTGTTCGGCTCCAGCCTTGAGCCCACAGCTGGCGCCGAAGGGGTTGCCGGATTATGATGGTAATTTTTCTTTTGCAACAACTCATGAGAATTTCAAAGCTGTTCTTTAACACTCCGACACTGGTCTCTCAATCCGTCCATCGTGTATCCGGCAGGGAAAGTACCTCCAGGGCACTCGGGCTCTCCCGAGCCCAGACTTCTCATTGAGAAAAGGGTGTCAATAGCATTCAGAGACCAGTTGATCAAATCCATAATTCTCTTTAGGTTTTAGAAACAGACTGTGAGAGTGTGTTCCAGGGAAAGTAATACAAAAAACACGAGACTAGACAAGGACATAAGCAGGGAAGATAAGGGAGAGGAGAGGAGAAAAAGTGCGTCCGCCTCCTCCGAGAGCCTAAAGAGAAGTTTTTCCAGTTGAGCAGTATCTTGGCAATAATCAGGACCACAAGCAGAGGTGTTTTGATGTATTTGGAGTTTGTTTAGTTCTTCCATATCGCCAAGTAAACAGAGGGAGAGGTGGTCAAGGATTTGGGATATTTTAGTAGTTATTTCTTTCCAGACGTTTTGTATTGGTGGACAGAGCCAGAATGCTTGAAGGTGTTCATCAGTGGTGTTGAGTGTGCAGTTTGTGCAAATGTCTTATTCACTAAGTCCTATTGGAGATAAAGTATCGGAATTTCAGGAGAGGTACCATGCCTCCAAACGCACTCCTTCCGGTTCTCATCTATATATGTTCCCCCAGTTCTACAAGCTGTTCATTCTCGTTTACGTGCCCTACCCTCCCTCTTCTTTAACTCCTTCACTTCTGTTTAGTACATGGGGATCTGCTAGGCCCGGGAACCACGACCAGTCCCGTTCGAGGAATTCCCCAAACCGCAGCTGAATTCACATCCAAGCCATTTACCTATACAGGGAGTGCAGAATTATTATGCAAATGAGTATTTTGTCCACATCATCCTCTTCATGCATGTTGTCTTACTCCAAGCTGTATAGGCTCGAAAGCCTACTACCAATTAATCATATTAGGTGATGTGCATCTCTGTAATGAGAAGGGGTGTGGTCTAATGACATCAACACCTTATATCAGGTGTGCATAATTATTAGGCAACTTCCTTTCCTTTGGCAAAATGGGTCAAAAGAAGGACTTGACAGGCACAGAAAAGTCAAAAATAGTGAGATATCTTGCAGAGGGATGCACCACTGAACAAGACACACAAGCTGAAACGTCAAGACTGGGCCAAGAAATATCTCAAGACTGATTTTTCCAAGGTTTTATGGACTGATGAAATGAGAGTGAGTCTTGATGGGCCAGATGGATGGGCCCGTGGCTGGATTGGTAAAGGGCAGAGAGCTCCAGTCTGACTCAGATGCCAGCAAGGTGGAGGTGGAGTACTGGTTTGGGCTGGTATCATCAAAGATGAGCTTGTGGGGCCTTTTCGGGTTGAGGATGGAGTCAAGCTCAACTCCCAGTCCTACTGCCAGTTTCTGGAAGACACCTTCTTCAAGCAGTGGTACAGGAAGAAGTCTGCATCCTTCAAGAAAAACATGATTTTCATGCAGGACAATGCTCCATCACACGCGTCCAAGTACTCCACAGCGTGGCTGGCAAGAAAGGGTATAAAAGAAGAAAAACTAATGACATGGCCACCTTGTTCACCTGATCTGAACCCCATTGACAACCTGTGGTCCATCATCAAATGTGAGATTTACAAGGAGGGAAAACAGTACACCTCTCTGAACAGTGTCTGGGAGGCTGTGGTTGCTGCTGCACGCAATGTTGATGGTCAACAGATCAAAACACTGACAGAATCCATGGATGGCAGGCTTTTGAGTGTCCTTGCAAAGAAAGGTGGCTATATTGCTTGCTGATTTGTTTTTGTTTTGTTTTTGAATGTCAGAAATGTATATTTGTGAATGTGGAGATGTTATATTGGTGTCACTGGTAAAAATAAATAATTGAAATGGGTATATATTTGTTTTTTGTTAAGTTGCCTAATAATTATGCACAGTAATAGTCACCTGCACACACAGATATCCCCCTAAAATAGCTAAAACTAAAAACAAACTAAAAACTACTTCCAAAAACATTCAGCTTTGATATTAATGAGTTTTTTGGGTTCATTGAGAACATGTTTGTTGTTCAATAATAAAATTATTCCTCAAAAATACAACTTGCCTAATGATTCTGCACTCCCTGTATCTACTAAAACGCTGTCAAATCTAAAATAAAGACGTGGGCCTAGCTAGTGAAGTATGATTTTATATTGTATTACTTGTATGTTGGTGTTGTTAGACATGCTAAAAATGTTATTGCAGACTCTACTCCAAAACTGATTATCTGTCTGGATGATGGAGTCTTTTTCCCATTTGTTAATTTGAGCGTGAGGTGCATTATCATTAGAGGATAGTAGTTTATTTGGTTTTAAGGGTGGTTTTTGTGACTTTGCAATTTTATTGATGCTGTTTATTAGTGATGGTTGTCCTACGTTAGTGTTATTGATACTTATTTTGCTTTGATGGAGTGTTTTTGTTGGTTATGTTGACGAAATAATTTTCTGTCAATCCTGTATATGTCAATGAACTGTTGAAATGTTAAGAAGTTATTCTGATAAAATATGTGGCGGAGGTGTGTGATGCCTTTTTCTTTCCATTTAATGCCTATCAGGGTAATTTATTTGCAGTGATGTAAGGGCTATTCCATATGGGTGTTTGAGTTGTAGGTGAGAATATAGTGTTTTTTATTTTATTAATCTTCCAGCAAGCTGACAGTGTTTGCTGTTGCAGTGGTTTTAAGCCGTTGTGATGTGTGATTGTATTCCTGATAAATGGTAAATCTTTGATTAATCGATCTTTATAATCAGATTGTCTAGACCTGGATGAAGGTGATGGGTTGAATGCATCCATTTGATAAGGTATTGTAGTTGGTTATCTAAGAAGTAGTAGTTGAAATTTGGTGCTTCTAGGACTCCTTGGACTTTTGACTTTTGTAATATTTTTAGTTTTATTCTGGAGTTTTTGTTTTTCCAGTAGAATGAAGTTATTATTGTGTCCAGAATAGTGAAAAAAAAGCTTCTGCGGGTTAAATAGGGATCATTGTGAATAAATAGTTGAGTTTAGGTAATATCATCAACTTTATGGTGTTAATACGTCCTATAACTGATAGCTGTATTGTCAACCATTAATTTAAGTAATCTTTTATTGTTTTTGATAGGAGTCTTGAAAACTGCTGATGAATTTGAATGTGGTCACTGGATTGGTTTATAGAGTAGATACAGTGGGGCAAAAAAGTATTTAGTCAGCCACCGATTGTGCAAGTTCCCCACTTAAAATGATGACAGAGGTCAGTAATTTGCACCAGAGGTACACTTCAACTGTGAGAGACAGAATGTGAAAGAAAAATCCATGAATTCACATGGTAGGATTTGTAAAGAATTTATTCGTAAATTAGGGTGGAAAATAAGTATTTGGTCACCTCAAACAAGGAAAATCTCTGGCTCTCACAGACCTGTAACGTCTTCTGTAAGAAGCTTTTCTGTCCCCCACTCGTTACCTGTATGAATGGCACCTGTTTGAACTCATCATCTGTATAAAAGACACCTGTCCACAGCCTCAAACAGTCAGACTCCAAACTCCGCCATGGCCAAGACCAAAGAGCTTTCGAAGGACACCAGGAAAAGTATTGTAGACCTGCACCAGACTGGGAAGAGTGAATCTACAATAGGCAAGCAGCTTGGTGTGAAAAAATCAACTGTGGGAGCAATCATCAGAAAATGGAAGACATACAGGACCACTGATAATCTCCCTCGATCTGGGGCTCCACGCAAGATCTCATCCCGTGGGGTCAAAACGATCATGAGAACGGTGAGCAAAAATCCCAGAACCACACGGGGGGACCTGGTGAATGACCTGCAGAGAGCTGGGACCAAAGTAACAAAGGTCACCATCAGTAACACACTACAACGGCAGGGAATCAAATCCCGCAGTGCCAGACGTGTTCCGCTGCTGAAGCCAGTGCATGTCCAGGCCCGTCTGAAGTTTGCCAGAGAGCACATGGATGATACAGCAGAGGATTGGGAGAATGTCATGTGGTCAGATGAAACCAAAGTAGAACTTTTTGGTATAAACTCAACTCGTCGTGTTTGGAGGAAGAAGAATACTGAGTTGCATCCCAAGAACACCATACCTACTGTGAAGCATGGGGGTGGAAACATCATGCTATGGGGCTGTTTTTCTGCCAAGGGGACAGGACGACTGATCCGTGTTAAGGACAGAATGAATGGGGCCATGTATCGTGAGATTTTGAGCCAAAACCTCCTTCCATCAGTGAGAACTTTGAAGATGAAATGAGGCTGGGTCTTCCAACATGACAATGATCCAAAACACACCGCCCGGGCAACAAAGGAGTGGCTCCGTAAGAAGCATTTGAAAGTCCTGGAGTGGCCTAGCCAGTCTCCAGACCTCAACCCCATAGAAAATCTGTGGCGGGAGTTGAAAGTCCGTGTTGCTCGGCGACAGCCCCAAAACATCACTGCTCTCGAGAAGATCTGCATGGAGGAATGGGCCAAAATACCAGCTACTGTGTGTGCAAGCCTGGTAAAGACCTATAGTAAACGTTTGACCTCTGTTATTGCCAACAAAGGTTATGTTACAAAGTATTGAGTTGTATTTTTGTTATTGACCAAATACTTATTTTCCACCATAATTTACGAATAAATTCTTTACAAATCCTACCATGTGAATTCATGGATTTTTTTTTCACATTCTGTCTCTCACAGTTGAAGTGTACCTCTGGTGCAAATTACTGACCTCTGTCATCATTTTAAGTGGGGGAACTTGCACAATCGGTGGCTGACTAAATACTTTTTTGCCCCACTGTATAATTTGGAACTGCTTAATATTGCTGTTGTGTGCAATCTTCCCAAATAAAACAGATGTGACAATGGTAGGAGGAAGGAAAGAAAATTAAACAAAACGCACAGATAAAGAAATAAACAAAAAAAATGTTAACACTGAAACACATAAAGGCATTGCGTACACAATGTTAAGAGCCTAATGACACATGAGTTCAGAGACAACTAGGTTAACTGTTCTTTTTGGATTTTATCAATTACTGTGGGGGGAGATAAAAAAATATGAATGGAATGTGAGCAAGAAAGAGGGAGGGAGGAAAGAAAGAAAAAAAGGTAAAATAAATTAGCAGCGACAATGATAGCTTTAATGATCATTTGACATATAAAAACACCCAAAATCACAACACATTTAGTCATGAAATTGTTGTATGAACAATTTGCTTTTCGCTTGACATTATAGTTCTATTCTGTAAAACCAACCTGAGGCTTGGATTTGCATCTAAGTGAGTTGGATCTTCCATTCATTGCATATCCAGTATTTGAAGAAATGCATTCACAGGAGTCAGGGATATTATTACCCCAGTCTGTGGCGTTCCTAATTCCACAGCAATGAAACTGTTAACAAACAAGAGATTGACTTTAAACAACAGGAAATACTCAACAAAATTTTCCACTATTCTGTTTTTTATCAATATAGTGACTGTAATGTAAATATCATTGCAAAACAATTCAGTCAATATATGGTGCAATCAAAATGTTTTTTGACTCCAATCTTGGCTGATCTCCCCTTTAAGGTTGGTCCTTGTTCACCTCTGGGCCCTTCCAGTGCTACTGTTATGTTTAGGTAACTTACAAGTTCTGTGTTGACTACTTGTAAAAGCACAGTTGCAACAAAATCCACTAGGGCCAGTAGAAAGACTACTATTATTGGGGTAAATAGTGCAAAAAACATTACATTTGACTGTATCTTCTCAACCATACTTCTAATGACTTCTTCTCTTATGTTGGCCTTTTGTAGTTCATTCTGGAGGGCAGTCTCTATCTGGAAAAGAAAATAACATTTTAGTATAATGGTAGAGAAATGAAGAATATATTCTCCTCAAGACAGACAGACACAGCAGGCCAAAAAGCACAGAGAAAGCAGAGGGAAAGATGAAGCAATAATAATGTTATGGATTATGAGACAGCAGACGCTTAAGCAATAATATGTCCACTCATAACCAAGAGGCCCTTCAATGGTTCCTCTTACAGCAGTTACACTTTCTGATTTTATTTGTATCTTCCTGAAATATTTTGACTGAATCCTCATTCTCTGAAATGCTACTTGCTTTCTTTTTAAAGTACCTCTTAAGTCCCATGGTCATGGCCAACTAGGACGGTTGAGTAAACTGATCACTTGGTAGTGTGTTGGTTATTGTGAGTTATTAAGACTGAGATATAAAAAGCATACTGCAGAAAGACAATGAAGGTAATTTATCTCCAAAACATAAAAATTAAGTCTAGCGGCAAGATAACAGATGGAAATACTAAATGTAGCTGATCAGACAGCAATGGAGAACACAGCAGAATTAAGAAAGAAAAGACAAGATGACCTCATTTCTTCCTGTCGCTACATTGATGCCACCATAAAACATGATGATCATTCCAATCCCCATGAAGCTTGCAAACTGTACAAACAAAACAATACAAAGAGCATCCACAGTTATTGTTCTAATAACTATAAAATTAACACAGCATCAGCTTGTTATCTTGTTTGATGTGGAGTTGTACATACTAGTTTGAGGCCGATGATTGACTCACAGCACGTAGCAAAGATTCCCAGAGAGGAAATACCGAGGACGCCGATGGCAAACAACCAACCCCAAATCATGTCTGGCAAATCAAGTGATGAGAACTCCTCCTGAATGATAGGAAAGGACACCAACAATGGATTAATCTGGAAAATTATTTAGTTCTTCAAATGAAAAAACAAATCAAAAACAATCATCCAAAATAACATTTTAGACATGACTGTCCGGTCCATGTTAGACTGACTATCCCAACCCCCCCCATGCTACCATAGGTCACACAAGAAGCATTTCAAAACCTGAACCAGGCCATACGAGGACCAACCTGCAACTCACCACCCAGCAAGTAGCATTCCTGAGTGAAGAGGCCAGCTCATTCAATTCAATTTCATTTTATTTATATAGCGCCAAACAGTGTTGGGGAGTAACGGAATACATGTACCGCCGTTACGTATTTAAAATACAAAATATGAGTAACTGTATTCCATTACAGTTACCATTTAAAAAGGTGGTATTTAGAATACAGTTACTTTGTTAAAATAAATGGATTACATGGCGGTATTTTCCTGTTTCATTTTGTCGCGGGTCAGGACTGTTTCGGTTTTGTTTGACAACTATGTTCTGTTGTTCCAGGCGGCAGCATTATGGTTGCCATGGCGACTGTGTGTTTCCTGGGTGAGAAAGCGCCTTTTTGTTGTTGTTGTTGTGTAAAGCTAATAGGCAGAATGCTACAGGTATAGCCCTAAAGAATGTAGCATCATAGGCAGTGTAGTCCGTGCTGCAGGGAGAATGGATCGCCATACCCATTATGTGTCTGTGAGCGCGAGGAGGGAGAAAAAGGAGAGTGGAAAAGTACGAGTTGTCATCAAACAAAAACGGGAGCTGGAAGCATGTAAATATAATAATAACCACTGCAGCCAAGAAGAGTGCCTGGCGAGCCCAGTTGTAAGTAAGCTATTAAGACTCGACTGTACACTGTGTTCATGTTTTCCTACGAAACAATAAGTTCCATTGGAGCAGCCTTTCAACGCCTCTCTCTGTCTCTCACAAGCAAAGGTGACCCAGACAACAAAGTAAAGCTATTTTTCAGCTACAAGCCCAACACGGAACCGACGTATTAGTCAGAGGTCCGTTTACTACAGTTCGGAGTCGCGGACCTTCAGTAACAGTAATAAATCACACAGCAATAGTACATTCACGTAGTTGTAAAAAGCATGATAATATATTAAGTAATCCAAAGTATTCAGAATACGTTAGTCTCATTGAGTAACGTAACGGAATACGTTATAGAATACATTTTGGCGTATGTATTCTGTAATCTGTAGTGGAATACATTTTAAAAGTAACCTTCCCAACACTGGCGCCAAATCACAACAGTCGTCTCAAGGCTTGTGTACTACCTTTTTCTGTTAATGGTTTATATGACACTACTGCATGTCATGTTCTTGTACTTCTGTACTAAAAATGGCAACACATTGCAAAACAGTTGGGGTCAGGTAACAAAAGGCTTGACAAATAGTTCGAAAAATAGTATGGAAAAAAGGAACAACTGGAGGAACATTTTGAAACATATTTTGTTAACTAACAACAGGTCGGTAGCATGCTGGGGAATAAAATGTGGATATATTAAACATGTTAAAAGGAAACATTTTAAAAGAAAGTGACACTTAAAAAAATCAGCAATCTGCTTTGTTCTAATTAAAAACTGAAAAATTAATGAGACTGTTTACCTTATGGGTAGAGGTCTGTAGCAATCCGTAAATCAGCCCAAATCCAACTATCTGAGGAAAGAGACTCAGATCATGTCATCTGCAATAGCAAAACCAGAGTTCCTGTATGGTTGCCTAAATGTACCAAGGAAACATTTATTCTTTAAAAGATAAATTCATCAGGGACTTGTTTTAAAAATGTTTCAAAACAAAAGAAACAAAAGATAAACAGTACCACAGAGAATTTCAAGTTTAAACTTTGGTCGATCTGCCCATTGGTTAGGTTTGACCATAGAAAACATTGGGCATGCATATATTTGTTACAGAATATATATATATATATATATATATATATATATATATATAATATATATATATATATATGTAAAAAAAACCAAAATAAACACACCCAGCACGCCCCTGCGGGCGGTTTATCCTTCAAGCTCGGGTCCTCTACCAGAGGCCTGGGAGCTTGAGGGTCCTGCACAGTATCTTAGCTGTTCCCAGGACTGCGCTCTTCTGGACAGAGATCTCCGATGTTATTCCCGGGATCTGCTGGAGCCACTCGCCTAGCTTGGGAGTCACCGCACCTAGTGCTCTGATTACCACGGGGACCACCGTTACCTTCACCTTCCACATCCTCTCGAGCTCTTCTCTGAGCCCTTGGTATTTCTCCAGCTTCTCGTGTTCCTTCTTCCTGATATTGCTGTCATTCGGAACCGCTACATCGATCACTACGGCCGTCTTCTTCTGTTTGTCTACCACCACTATGTCCGGTTGGTTAGCCACCACCATTTTGTCCGTCTGTATCTGGAAGTCCCACAGGATCTTAGCTCGGTCATTCTCCACCACCCTTGGGGGCATCTCCCATTTTGACCTCGGGACTTCCAGGTTATACTCGGCAGAGATGTTCCTATACACTATGCCGGCCACTTGGTTATGGCGTTCCATGTATGCCTTGCCTGCTAGCATCTTGCACCCTGCTGTTATGTGCTGGATTGTCTCTGGGGCATCTTTACACAGCCTGCACCTGGGGTCTTGCCTGGTGTGATAGACCCCAGCCTCTATGGATCTTGTGCTCAGAGCTTGTTCTTGTGCTGCCATGATTAGTGCCTCTGTGCTGTCTTTCAGTCCAGCTTTGTCCAGCCACTGGTAGGATTTCTGGATATCAGCCACCTCCTCCATCTGCCGGTGGTACATACCGTGCAGGGGCCTGTCCTTCCATGATGGTTTCTCATCTCCCTCCTCTTTCTTGGGTTTCTGCTGCCTGAGGTATTCACTGAGCACTCGGTCAGTTGGGGCCGTCTTCCCAATGTATTCTTGGATGTTCGTTGTCTCATCCTGGACTGTGGTGCTGACACTCACCAGTCCCCGGCCCCCTTCCTTCCGCTTAGCGTACAGCCTCAGGGTGCTGGACTTGGGGTGAAACCCTCCATGCATGGTAAGGAGCTTTCTTGTCTATATATATATATATATATATATACACACAGTGGGGCAAAAAAGTATTTAGTCAGCCACCGAATTTATTCGTAAATCAGGGTGGAAAATAAGTATTTGGTCAATAACAAAAATACAACTCAATACTTTGTAACATAACCTTTGTTGGCAAGGTCAAACGTTTACTATAGGTCTTTACCAGGTTTGCACACACAGTAGCTGGTATTTTGGCCCATTCCTCCATGCAGATCTTCTCGAGAGCAGTGATGTTTTGGGGCTGTCGCCGAGCAACACGGACTTTCAACTCCCGCCACAGATTTTCTATGGGGTTGAGGTCTGGAGACTGGCTAGGCCACTCCAGGACTTTCAAATGCTTCTTACGGAGCCACTCCTTTGTTGCCCGGACGGTGTGTTTTGGATCATTGTCATGTTGGAAGACCCAGCCTCGTTTCATCTTCAAAGTTCTCACTGATGGAAGGAGGTTTTGGCTCAAAATCTCACGATACATGGCCCCATTCATTCTGTCCTTAACACGGATCAGTCATCCCGTCCCCTTGGCAGAAAAACAGCCCCATAGCATGATGTTTCCACCCCCATGCTTCACAGTAGGTATGGTGTTCTTGGGATGCAACTCAGTATTCTTCTTCCTCCAAACACGACGAGTTGAGTTTATACCAAAAAGTTCTACTTTGGTTTCATCTGACCACATGACATTCTCCCAATCCTCTGCTGTATCATCCATGTGCTCTCTGGCAAACTTCAGACGGGCCTGGACATGCACTGGCTTCAGCAGCGGAACACGTCTGGCACTGCGGGATTTGATTCCCTGCCGTTGTAGTGTGTTACTGATGGTGACCTTTGTTACTTTGGTCCCAGCTCTCTGCAGGTCATTCACCAGGTCCCCCCGTGTGGTTCTGGGATCTTTGCTCACCGTTCTCATGATCATTTTGACCCCACGGGATGAGATCTTGCGTGGAGCCCCAGATCGAGGGAGATTATCAGTGGTCTTGTATGTCTTCCATTTTCTGATGATTGCTCCCACAGTTGATTTTTTCACACCAAGCTGCTTGCCTATTGTAGATTCACTCTTCCCAGTCTGGTGCAGGTCTACAATACTTTTCCTGGTGTCCTTCGAAAGCTCTTTGGTCTTGGCCATGGCGGAGTTTGGAGTCTGACTGTTTGAGGCTGTGGACAGGTGTCTTTTATACAGATGATGAGTTCAAACAAGTGCCATTCATACAGGTAACGAGTAGGGGACAGAAAAGCTTCTTACAGAAGACGTTACAGGTCTGTGAGAGCCAGAGATTTTCCTTGTTTGAGGTGACCAAATACTTATTTTCCACCCTGATTTACGAATAAATTCTTTACAAATCCTACCATGTGAATTCATGGATTTTTCTTTCACATTCTGTCTCTCACAGTTGAAGTGTACCTCTGGTGCAAATTACTGACCTCTGTCATCATTTTAAGTGGGGGAACTTGTACAATCGGTGGCTGACTAAATACTTTTTTGCCCCACTGTAGATATAATATATATATATATATATATATATATATATATATATATGTATATATATATGTGTGTGTGTGCGTGTGTGTGTGTGTGTGTGTGTGTGTGTGTGTGTACATATATATACGTATATATACACATATGCATATATATATATACAATATATATATATATATATATGTGTGTGTGTGTGTGTGTGTGTGTGTGTGTGTGTGTGTGTGTGTGTATGTATATACATTTATGTATATATGTATACTTTTGCCCTCAGTGTTTTACTTTAGAATATATGCTTAAGAAGAAAAAAATTCTCAGAGTGCTCATTGCTAGAAGCAATGTAAATGTAATTTTAATAAAACATAGTAGGAAATATGTGTGCTAAGCATTAAAAATAAATCCTTATTTATTTGTTCTAAATTATGGAAAAACAGCTTCTTCTAACTGCCCAGTCTTTTAATCATTATATCTTGCAGCACTGCTTCACCATGGTAAAAGACAAAAAGGCTTCAGTGGTTCATAGTTAGATTAAAATATGAGAATGCTGAAAATAGTTTTTCCATTTCTGCATGTATGTCTTATTGTTGGGTCTTTACCTTACAATGTAAAGTGCCACGAGGCAACTGTTCTTGTGATTTGGTGCTACATAAATAAAACTGAAGTGAACAATTTTCTTTTTTTTTAAATAAACTTGTGAAAAATAAATCCTTTTAGTTTCTCTCTTTCCTTCAACATAAATAATAACAAAAATCAATAAATCAATCATCAAAATGAAATCCTAAAAACAAAAAAATAAAGATTCCACTTACTGCAAAAAGCACATTGAAGAAGACAAAAATGCACTTGAGACATCCATTAATTTTCCCCATCTTCAATTTTTAGAGGTGATGCAGTGAGGTTGTAACCCAGAGTGTAAGAATGTGCAGCTTTTCTGCCGTTTGTGAACACACAGAGTGAATGTGAATTCAGGAGGACGCAGAAGTGAAACACAAAAGGCTTCTCTGAGGACAAACCCTCACATCTATAGTAAGACCTCATAAAACACATGCAGTTAGAAAAAAAAACATGCTTTAGTTCTCATGAACTTAATAACAGGAAGCAAAACAAAAACTGAAAGAAAAAAACATATCAAAGAATTATTTCTGACTACTGTATAAAGAACACTGGCAAACAGAATGGGGGGGGGAGTAAACGTAATACAGCAGAGATAAGACTGCAGTCCTCCAGTCTTCCATTAAGAGCCTCAACATCGTCTTGGGTTTTGAGAGGTAAAACCACCCCTTCAAGGAATTATGCAACTAAATCAATTTTTCTACTTCAGCAAGGCATTTAACATCTTGCTATGAACCAGTTGAGTCTCCTTCACTTCATCTAAAATGGCAAGGACTTTTCGCTTGATTCACTGTGGCTGCTCAGTTTACTTTGCATCAGTTTAACACTTGGCCTAGAGAGGTTAAAGCACACAACATTTACTATAGCAGTCGTTCTCAAATTGTAATACGTGTACCACCTATGTCTGGTGGTACGTGGGAAGTCTCCAATATTTTTTTGTTAGGATTAAATAATTGTATATGTCACGGGTGTGCACTAGAAGGGATCCAGATAGCAAGGAAACATTGAATCAACGTTGAGGTGTGACGTTGACCTAACGTTACACTTGCACCCTTTATTGTTATTGAAACGTCAGTTTTTGATATTGAATCAATGTTGAAAGCTGACATTGATTCGACGCTATATTTTCTAATAATGTTGACATCGAAACAATGTCAGATTCTAATATTGAAACACTGTTGAACTATGATGTTGATTTTCCACTTCTTTCGCACAGTTGCTTTTTATTGAAACAGTTACTGGAAATCATGACTGGAAATCTACCATTCTTTATAGGTATTTTAATCAATACTAAACTACTGCATGTTTCCATCATATTTAAACCACCTAAACACATAATTGTACTTATTCCTCAAATTGGACACCCTTTATATGTTAAAAAATGTCTCACAAAGTATCATGTCAATAGTCCTGGTGTCCTGGATTGTTGATTACCTGACAGGAAGACCACAATATGTACGTCTCCCACAGTGTGTGTCTGACAAGGTGATTAGCAACACAGGGGCACCACAGGGGACTGTCCTCTCCCCCTTCCTCTTCACCCTCTACACCACAGACTTCAGCCACTGCACAGAGACCTGCCATCTTCAGAAGTTTTCTGATGACTCTGCGGTGGTTGGATGCATCAGCAGGGATGATGAGACAGAGTACCGGGCTGTGGTCGACTCCTTTGTCACGTGGTGTGAGCAGAATCATCTGCAGCTCAACGTGGCAAAGACCAAGGAACTGATCGTGGACTTCAGGAAGACCAGGAAACACTTGACCCCTGTTTCAATCCAGGGGGTCAGTGTTGACATTGTGGAGGACTATAAATACCTTGGAGTACACATTGACAATAAACTGGACTGGGCTAAAAACACCACAGCACTTTACAGGAAGGGCCAGAGTCGTCTCTATTTTTTGAGGCGACTGAGGTCCTTCAACATCTGTCAGAAAATGCTGAGGATTTTCTATGAGTCTGTGGTGGCCAGTGCGATCCTCTATGCTGTTGCATGCTGGGGGAGCAGGCTGAGGGTCGCAGATGCCAACAGACTTAATAAACTGATCCGTAAGGCCAGCAATGTTGTGGGGATGGAGCTGGACTCCCTCAAGGTGGTGTCGGAGAGGCGGATGCTGTCCAAGATAAAGACAATGTTGGATAACACCTCCCACCCACTCCATGACATGTTGGTCAGTCACAGGAGCACGTTCAGTGAGAGACTGAGATTACCGAAAAGCACCACTGAACGACACAGGAAATCATTCCTGCCTGTGGCCATCTCCCTGTACAACGCATCCACTTAACACACTGTTTGCTGCTACAACTACACATGTTTCTTTTCCAACTATTTATTTATAAGTGACTTATGTATGTATGTATGTATATATATGTATATATTGTACTATTCTTAGTTAGCGTATTGTCTGTCTTGTCTTAATGTTGGTTTAAAATGGAGCACTGTAGCAAAAAATAATTTCCCCCAGGGATCAATAAAGTATTCTGATTCTGATTCTGATAGTCAGTTCTAAAAACAGAAAGCATCACACATCATGTAACAGAGAACAGAAAAGAAAAAAAAAGGTCAATAGACATGTATCGTTTGCAAAATACTTTATTAAAAGACAAAGTTTCCTATTTACATTTCTATGTTTCACGTCACTTTTTAATTTTTACAATCCGGAGCATATCTGAGCCATTTCTGGACTGCTTGAGCAAAGACCAACTCAGACATAGAGTTCGCCCCTACCTGCTGCGCCAGGCCATCTAGGACAAAAATAGACACACACAGAAAAAAAAAGACAAAAAAAGTGAATTAGAGCACATGAATAAGCTCTTGTTAATTGACAAAACAAGCCGAAGACCAAAGACTCCATCTCCAGATTAACCGGACATGAAAGTCTTGTTATTAAGAAAGACAAAGTAATATAGCAAAAACCGGACATAGGATATGTGAAACACACCCAGCACATCAATTGATCCCTTTATTGTTTACTGTAGGCTCATAAAACTACAATAAATGATAAAACTTACCAAATATGCATCTGCACTGCGCTGTCTCTTTAAATGCCATTTTTTGCTGTCTGGTCCTTGTTTTTTTCCCTGCCCAATTGAGTACCGAGGCCAGCTCGTTTGGCGGTGCGGCAGACTCGCACCTCCAGTGTGGTCCCTCCAATCAAGGCAAAGCGCCTCACCTATAGACACATTTTAAGAGATGGAATTAGCGTGTCTCATGTCTTAAATGTGTACGCAAGTGCTTGTGTGTTTAATCAACAGGCATGTTATGTATTTTAATCAAATCTGATAGCTATTACACTTTATAGTTACAAAGTGTACATAACCTTTATATACTTACCATTGCCTTATTTGCCTCCGGTGATTGAAGGGCTGCCCCTGCATTGTTTAGCTCCTCAATGTTGTGCAAAGGCAAATCCAGAGGCAATACCCCAGCATCTACAGATTCATTGCAGCAGGGATGGCGGTTGGCTCTGACCTCCTCACGGAGTTCGTTAACTGCTCTGGTCAGGTCTGACAGCATCGTTAACATCTTTTGTGAGGTCGCATCTGTTTCAAAGAACAATTCTAGAAAGATTAATGGCTTAAGCAGTGGGAGGCGAAAAACGAATATATCCATAAGTGATGGTGTAACATTCTGCATTCAAATATTACCGTATTTCCCGGACTACAGAGCGCACCTGAATATTAGCCGCACAAGCTAAAATCAGTGGAAAATCCTGTTTTGTACATACATTAGCCGCACCTGACCAAAAGCCGCAGGTGTTTCAATGTTGACTTATCACATGTAAGAGAATATGCACAAAGGGAATTGTCAGGAAAGAGATGGCTGTTTGGAGACATCACTTTTATTAATATTTTGAAAAACAAGTTATGGGTACATATTTGCATAACTTTTTAGGTATATGTACAAGTAGCGGTAATTACAAGTACGAAACATGTACTGTGCTTCATAAATGAGTAACAAATGTAGTACATAACAATAACCTACAGCACACCAGAAAAATAGATTCAGACTACCTTTTAGGCTCAGGTGCAGTGACATGGCTTTAACAAGAAGAAAAGTCAGTCATTCACCACCATCTTCCTGCGCACTAAAACCACCAAAGTCCTCTCCTCCAGTGTCGGATACGAACAGGCTCAGGATGGCTACGTCATCCACTCTCAGCTTCTTTCATTCGTTGTCACTTACAAAACCAAAGAAATCCTCGTTGTCAGTGTCAGAGTCGAACCCCCTCTGAAGGGCCGTGGCGGTGTCTTCCTCTCCATAATGCAGCAGTCCAGCCCTTTGAAATCCGTTGGTGATCATGGATGTTTTCACACTTTTCCACGCTGTCAGGTTCCACCAGTGGAGTTGAGCATAACTTGCTTTTCGCAAGTTTATCGCCGCTCGTCATCCACGACTCCCGCTGAACGCGTAGCGTTAATTTGAAGTTTGTTTTTCGCGCTACTTGTACAGCACTATGTTGCCTGGCGAATGGACACGTGACCAACATACCACTCTTGAACCCCGATACTGTGTGTCTGATCACATGCCCTCTTGCCAGTCAATGTAGTGCCGTACAACAGCGGAACAAACAAAATAAATCCTCTTACGATATCACAAAAATCTTGGACAATCCACAAAAAAGCCGCAACTGACTAAAAGCCGCAGGGTTCAAAGCTTGTGCAAAAAGTAGCGGCTTATAGCCCGACAATTACGGTAGTTGTTGTAACTGTTAAAAGTGTTTACTAGTTTTTGCCTGTCACATATATTTGATATTTGTATATGTAGCTTGCCATCACCAGTGTGTGAATGTGTGTGTGATTGGGTGGATGACTGAATGTGTAAAGCGCTTTGGGGTCCTTAGAGACTAGTAAAAGCGCTATACAAATATAGGCCATTTACCATTTATACCATGTAAACTGTGAAATTCCAAGATTTTCGAACTTGCCTTGTAATAGTGGCCTCACAGAGTCTCTGGAATCTACAGAAAAAAAATCACAACAAGATGACATTCAGGAGTATAAACTGGTGTTTTGAAGATAAGAGTACAATGACATTGTGATTCAGCTTTAAAACTATTTTAAAAGCATACCATCTATAGGGAAGACATCGACATCAGACTGCATGCTGGGGAGATTGCAAAGCTGTGTCGGAAAGTCATGTACGCATGCAACGTAAAGTTAGGTGAGCATGCAACGTACAGTCACGTGGGCATGCCGCGTGAGCATTCGAACTGAGTCTAAAGTTTTGGTTACCTGGAGGGATGTACCACTGTGAGAGGGGTGCTGTGGAATAGTCCAAGTGATCCCTGCTGTAATTTCCCAGTCAACTATACATAAATTGCACG